CCCCCCCCCGCCGTTCTGGCTGCACCCGGCCCTCTCGGCCCGCCCTCTCACCACCCCTTTCCATCAGCCTCGTCCGTTTGGGCCCCCCCACCCATCCCGCCCCGCCCCGCCCCGCCCCACCCCACCCCACCCCCCGCCCCCGCGCGGTGCAGGTGGAACAGCACGCTCTGCCGAGAGCAGGCGGAGCTGCCCCATATCTCCCCATATCTCCCCACATCTCCCCATATCTCACGCTCTGCCGCGAGCAGGAGGAGCTGCTCTCATATCTCCCCATATCTCCCCATATCACGCTCTGCCGCGAGCAGGAGGAGCTGCTCTCATATCTCCCCATATCTCCCCATATCTCACGCTCTGCCGCGAGCAGGAGGAGCTGCTCTCATATCTCCCCATATCTCCCCATATCTCCCCATATCTCACGCTCTGCCGCGAACAGGAGGAGCTGCTCGCGCGCGGCGCCGCCGCCATCTCCCCGCCCAACCAGTTCAAGGCGCTCTGCGTCGTCGCAGAGTCGCAAAACGGGATCGAGGAGGAGGGGGCGGAGTGAGGCTCACTCTCGGCGGGCGAAAAGAGCGAGGAGGCACGCGGGAGAGGAGGCGGGCGAGCCCTTGGCGCGCGGGCTGGTTGAGGGAGAGTCGCGCCCCCTGCGCCAGCAGAGGGCGTCAGGGGTGACTCGGCGCTGGCGGAGCGGATATGGTTCAAGGGAGGGGGGGCGGCGGGGAGGCGGGGCGCGGTACGTTCAAGGCGCAGCTATGGGGAGGGGGGCAGGGGGAGGGGGCATGCATTCGAGTAGCATGGGTGTGCACATGGCATGCCAACGCATGCGAGATAGATGCGCATGTGTCTCTGGCTGCGCTTGGCCTTAACCTTACGGTAAATTTTAGCTGCTTACCTTACCTTATGTCCTTCGCAAAAGCGTGGGTTGTTGCACGAGTATATAGGACAAAAGCGTCGAAAATCCGTCCCAAAAAGAGCGTGTGTCTCGAGTTTGTTGCAGCCCCACAGGCACAGCCGGCGCGCGCTGCCAGGAAGCACCGCTCGCGTGTCGGCCGCACTCCCTGGCACCCAGTGAGTGCGGCCGACCGACCAGACCGAATAGGCTCGACGCCGCGCTCGCTGTGGGGCTGCAACAAAGTCGCCGCCGAGCGTGCCACCGAAGGCGTCCCGTCAGAGGTGATGGAGTGTGAGACCTGAGGCTGCGGAGGTCACGGCACCAACGGTTCCGATCACCAGCCCGCGCGAGCGTCTCGTGTCCGCAGCGACGTCACCGCACCGCCACGGGCAGCACGCCAGTGGGGGGCGAGCGCGGCGCATGCTTCTGCCATTCTCTCGCGTATTCTTTGCGCATTGTCTCTTGCGGCGGAGCTACGGCGGAGTTTGCTGTGCAGACGACGCCTACGGGTATGCGCAGAAGCACGGCGCAGAAGCCGGGATCTTGCTGAAGAGGAGCTTGCGACGGCGGCGAGAGCGGCGGGTTGAGCCGCAGTTGCACACGCCGGTGGCGCAGATCGTGAGACCGGCGGTCTCACGATCTGGGGCAAAGGCGGCGGCGATCTCATCGGCCAGCGCCAGCGACCCCGCGTTGGCTGGCGAGGCCCAGAGCGTGCACGGTTTGGAAAAGGCGAGCGACTGGCTCTCGAGCTCACCCGACACGCAGAGCGGAAGGGAGGTCCTGTCCAGAAAGTTGGGCGAGCAGAGGAGCACCGCCTAGGTTGGTTCAAGTGGGGTTGGCCGGGAGGTAGAGTGAGAGAACGGAGCTGGCTGTGGCCGGCGGCGCCTCGGCGATGATCTTGAGCGAGATGAGCTGAAACTCATCGATGCGATACCAAATCGTGAGCGGCCAGTCGTTGTCAAAGATGGCCGGCTGCAGGTCCTCGGGGCACTCGTCGCGCAGCGCCTGGAGCGTCCCGCCGCCCTTTTCAGGGTCCGCTTCTTGGACGAGGACGAGCGGCTTGTCCTTCTCGAGCGACGAGCGGACCTCTCGGAGGCAGTTCTGTGGCGCGGGCGAGGCGGCAGTTCTTGGGGCCCCAGGGTGCGGTAGAGGGGCGGGGTGGGAGGAAGAGGCGAGCCTTGGAGCGGAAGTAGCCCTGCGAGAGGAAGAAGAGGATGACCTGCGAGCTCTGGATGTACTCCTCCAGCGCCCCGATATCCTTGAGATCATCTACCTATGAGCACACCGCGGTGCGTCAGGGGGGCTCTGTGTGTAGCTTAAGCAGCGCTGATGAGCATGTGCGCGCGTCGAGAAAGACTTTGATGTTCGGCAGCAGCTGCTCGAGCTCACCCTTGATAACCTTGACGGCGTCTTGACCGGTCGACCTATTCGTTTGGGTGAGGGGCGGGGGTCACGCCGGCTGTTTTCGCTCCCTCTCTCCCTCCATAGCCGTGACTCACCAGATGTGGCTGTTGAAGAGGTGCCACGTGAGGCCCCTCACGATGCTCAGCTCGGGGGGCTGCTTGGTCGAGACGAGTCGGATCGTGGGGATCTTGGCGACGCGACGGGCGGCGACGATGGCGCCGACGAGGAAGAAGGCGAGCACGACTGCAACGAGGATGATCATCGAGTCGACAATCACATTGAGGCTGCGGAAGCCGAGGACATCGGCGGGATCTGCTCCCTGGTACCGCTCCTGGATGCCGAGGAAGATGGTGCTCCAGTTGGTGCCGAGGAAGAGGAGGAGGAGCACGAGGCTCGTGGCGACGGCGAGCACGTTGTCCTCGACCCGCTTGTACGGCCGCACGACGGCGAGTGCGACGGCGTAGCATGAGCAGATGAGCGTCGCCACCACGAGGCGAACAAAGGCGCGCTCCTCCGGTATTAGAAGCACGAAGCCAGTCAGCACGAGCTTGCGCGCCAGCTCGACCGCCTCCCACCAGTACCAGGTCGTCTCGTACTCCCGGTGGAGGAAGGCGGTGGCCCGCGTCAGAGCATTCGGCGTCTTGGCCTGCAGCGGCTTGTAGCAAGCGGCGAGGAGCGACGTGAAGAGGACCAGCGAGCCGGCGGGCCAGAGGACGATGAAGCCGGTGGCGAGGGCGGTGATGGGTCCGTGATCGTCGGAGCCGCACTCGACGCTCGCGTCCTGCCGCATGTAGGAGACCTGCTCTAGCTCCTCGCCGGGCGGAGAGATGGTGTAGGCCTATCAGCAGAAACTTACGAGGACTGAGGGGTGTGGGGTTGTGAGCAACGGCAGTCATCAGCTGTGAGAGGGCGCCTGGCACGACCAGGAGCGGAAGATGGAGGCGCTGATGGAGGGCACGAAGCAGAAGATGAGCACGAGGCCGGCCGGCGTGAGGTCGAGGAGGCCGAGGGCCGCCTCCGCGTACCACGGCCTCTCGCGCGGCGCCGGGGCGGCACGCCAGCGGTAGAGCCGCAGGCTTATTCCCGCGATCATTAGCAGGGCGATGAGGGCGACGGGGGAGAGGGCGATGGCGAGGAGCCGCAGAGCGTAGCCGAGGCACTGCTCCGGCAGGAAAAAGCCAGACCAGTCGATGGAGATCACGTTGGCCAAGTTGTCCGTCCAGCCCGTGTACTTGTCCGGCAGCCGCGCGGAGTAGGTGGAGGAGAGGACGGTGCAGATCTGATAGAAGCCAAACAGGATCTTGAGCTTTGCCGTCATTCCGCCCCCGACGTAGTACTTGACGGAGCGGTCTGCAAAGCGGAGGATAGAGCCGATGATGCGCTCCTTCCGCCACGGCATGTGGTAGGCCCACGCCGCCAAGCCGCACGCGACGCAGAGGCCGAGGACGAGGCCGGCGATGCGGCCAGCCGCCGCGTCGCGCGCCGCGCACTCCTTGCAGTTGACGCCATCGACGAGGTACTGGTTCTCTGCGGCGCAGAGCTGGCACTCGGGGCCTTTGAAGTCCGACGCGCAGTATTCTGAGCCCGCCTCCACCATCCTCCGGCCTCTCGCCACCGGCTCGCTGCCGGCGCACCGCGTCTTGCCGGCATTGGCATTGCCGCCAAAGACGCGGCACTCTGTCAGCACGGCGGAGGAGGGGCTGGCGCGCCAGAAGCCGGGCGGGAGGACGAGGGAAGAAAGGGTAGTGTTGTCCGGGCAGGCAGCGTTCGGCGGGCACGGCTTGCAGAACTCGGTGGGGGAGGTCAAGATGTCGCTCGGGTCGGCCGAGGTGTTCCGCAGATAGTACTTCTCCATGCAGATAGAGCAGATGGTGCTGCCGCTGACCGAGCTGAGGGGATGCGGACATAGATTGCAGAGGCTTTGGCCAGCGTTGGCGGCGTATTTGCCAGCCACGCACTCGTCGCACGCGACGCTGCCTTGATTCGACGAAGTGCCGGGATCGCAAGACTCGCACCTGGACTGCCCCTCTTTCGCGGCGAAGGTGCCAGGCGAGCACGGCGTCGGCTCGATGCTGCCCGTGGAGCAGGCGCTGCCGGCGGGGCAGGCCGTGCACTCACCCGCGGCGGTGAGGTTTGTTGCGTTCGAGTAGCTGCCCTTCTCGCACGGCAGCGGCGCCGACGCGCCCAGCTCGCAGTAGCTGCCTTTCTTGCACACGAGACAGCCCGTTGAACCCTTCTCGTTCTGATAGAATCCCGCGGCGCACCGCTCGCACTTGGCGAGGCCGGGTGTGGCGGCGAAATGGCCGGGCTCACACGGCGAGCACGTCTCTCTGCTTTCCGCGCCCCGCGTTGCGCTCGCGGTGCCGGCGGGGCAGAGCTCGCACGCGGCGCTCGAGTTGGAGCCGTTGGCCGGGTTGAAGCTGCCGGCGGGACACGGCTCCCAGACCATGCGTGTGGCGGCGCCCGCCTCCTCGCAATGGCCTCCGCGCGGGCAAGGGTCGCAGGCGGCGAGGCCGACGTCGGGAGAGAAGGAGCCCGCTGCGCAAGGAAGGCACTCCTCCTCTCCCGCGAGGGGCTGATGCTGGCCTGGAGCGCACGGGATGCAGCTCTCGCTGCTCGCCGCGCCGAGGGCGGGCATGCGAGTGCCGACCGGGCAGGGCTCGGGGTCGGCGGTCCCCTCCTTGCAAAAGTGGCCCCTGGTGCACTGGCCGCTGCAGGAGGAGTCGGTGAGGTTTGTCGTTGCCCCATAGTAGCCAGCGGGGCAAGGGTTGCACTCGGGGACACTGAAGTCGCCCTTAAAGGAGCCCTCGGCCGGCAACCAGCTGCCCAAGCGGCATACCCAGTCTATCTCCGAGTTTCGAGTATGTATCGTGGCACCGTCGTTGCCACTGAAGGAGGCGTTGCTGATGGAGGGACGTTGTTTGAGGCCTTGCAGGTACAGCACCGAGCCTGACCCGTCCGCTCTGTTGTCGATGAAGTCGACACCCGCGACGGAGAGGGACTCGCTGTCCACCGCCCAGACGACGCCGCCCCACTGCGGTTGCGAGGCGAGAGCGGGGTGAGGCAGCGGTGTCCCTCTCCATCTCTCGCCCTGCTGCCGTGCGGCGCTGCAGGGGTGCGGCTAGCTCTACGCGGCGCACCGTGCCAGCCGAGCAGCCGGCGACGGTCGAGCTGATTATCGAGACCGCACCGCTGTCCTGCGCGTAGACGACGCCGCCGAACTGCGGTTGCGAGGAGAGAGCGGGGTGAGGCAACCGTGGCCCCTCTCCATCTCTCGCCCCGCTGCCGAGTGGCGCTGCAGGGCCGGCGGCTAGCTCTACGCGGCGCACATAGGTAGCCGAGCAGTCCCTGACGACCGACTCGATGATCTCGACGTCGCCTGCGCCGTTTGCGTTCACAACACCGCCGCTACCCACCCTCCCGTTGACGAGGGTCAGCCCCCGCAGGGCGAGGCTGCAGCCGCCCGAGAGGTAAAAGAGCCCGGTCTCTCCCTGGCCGTCGAGCGTCGCGCCCTCGCCGCTGCTCGCGACGGTCACTTTGATGGTGGAGGTGCAGCTGATCTGGCGGCTCAGCTTGAAGTGCGCACTGGGCGGCAGGTAGACGGAGACGTCGGCAGGAGTTGAAGTAGCGTCCTCGATCAGGTTGCGGAGCTGGTCCTCGCTCGCCGCGGCGACATAGCCGGGGGAGAGCGGCGGCAGCGGCGGCGGCGGCGACGGTGATGGCGGTGGAGGCGATGGAGGCGGTGAAGGCGGTAGAGGTGGCGCTGATGGCGGTGAAGGCGGGCGGGTCGCCCAGCAGATCTGACGGCAGAGGGAGGATAGGCGTCAGAGAGGAGACGGAAGGGGAGCGAGAGGCACCAGGGGCACACCTTCCAGCCCGACCCGACTACGCTGCCATCCGACCGCCACTCGATGACGCCGTCCTCCGCCACCGCGCCACTCGGCCCCGAGGTGCCGCAGTACTTTGTGCCGTTGACGGTGAGATAGTCGTAGCGGCAGCCGTACGCCTCCACATCAAAGGCGACCGTCTCCAGCCCGACCGGCGGCACACCGCTGATGGTGCACTCCTCGCTGTTGCCGTAGCTGTTCGGGTAGTTTGGCGACGCGGCGCACCAGCCGCCGTCCGTGAGCGAGCACGGGCTGCTGACGTTGACGGGCGGTGCCGCTGGGGTGCCCCATACGCCCTGCAGGAAGAAGAGGATCACAATGCCAACTCGGAGAGCACGTTTGCTGGAAAGCAAGGGTACGGAGATCGCTGCGTGGCTGCGGCCCTCCACGCTCTTCTTCTTGACCTGCCCACGCAGCAACGGCTCAAGGAACGCCGCGAGGAGCAGCGCCAGCACGGCCGCACAAGGGTTGAGAAAGAGCAGCGAGGCCACATCGACCTCTGAGAGGGCCGTGGCGTTCGTGAAGCTCTCCTCGAGTGAGGGTTTCACGACTCGAGAACCGATCTTGGTCGCGCCGAAAGTCTCGTCAAATGGGGCGAGCTCGGCGTAGTCGCCGATGTTGAGCTTGGAGGTAGGCGGGTAGGTCTTACCGATCCCGCCACACGCCTAGCC